GGCGAGAAAATGATGCGCTATCATTTCCACACCACCTTGCGGTAGATAGCATGGTGCGCTTTTTTTATAGTGGTTTCCCCCATAGGCCTATTCCACTCTCAATTTAAAAATTATTCAAAATGCTATTTACTATACGCTGAATATATCGTAAATGTAAAAAATTAATGGTGACAGTACCTTTACAAAAATTGATTCGTGGTTGAAAATCCCTCGATAAAATGTATTATATATGCACGCGTTGATAATGTGATACGATGATAAAATTCTTCAAGAATCTTTTCTTCATCTCGTACACGAAGACGCACTGCTGGACGGGTTATCCCGATATTATGCACGACACTCAGTTTCACATAATTATTACACAACACGTAAAATTGTACGGCCACTTGGTTTTTGTGCACGCCCGAGAAATGATTCCATGTAAATTGCGGCCGCACGATAAGTATTTTCTCCCGCTAGTCCGTATGCCACAATCATATCCGTATATTCCTGAAGAGTACACTTCACTTTCTCTGTTAATTTACTACGCAAACACAAGATTTTTATTAAAAAAGTCTTAGCTCTCGCACGCTGTTACCAGACTGCGTACGCCAGCAGCACGCAACTACAGCTGAGCGGACATGCGAGTGTAATCATAGTGCGCAGGCGTCGAACTCACACGTACGCTTACACTCACATGTCCGCTCAGCTGTCAGCTGTAGTTCTCTGCAGGAATATACGGATATGATTGTGGCATACGGACTAGCGGGAGAAAATACTTATCGTGCGGCCGCAATTTACATGGAATCATTTCTCGGGCGTGCACAAAAACCAAGTGGCCGTACAATTTTACGTGTTGTGTAATAATTATGTGAAACTGAGTGTCGTGCATAATATCGGGATAACCCGTCCAGCAGTGCGTCTTCGTGTACGAGATGAAGAAAAGATTCTTGAAGAATTTTATCATCGTATCACATTATCAACGCGTGCATATATAATACATTTTATCGAGGGATTTTCAACCACGAATCAATTTTTGTAAAGGTACTGTCCATTAATTTTTTACATTTACGATATATTCAGCGTATAGTAAATAGCATTTTAAATAATTTTTAAATTGAGAGTGGAATAGGCCTATGGGGGAAACCACTATAAAAAAAGCGCACCATGCTATCTACCGCAAGGTGGTGTGGAAATGATAGCGCATCATTTTCTCGCCACGAAAAGGGGGGACGGGTCATTTTTCGGCGCGGTATTGCGATATATCGCAAACCACCATCATGTCTCGGAGAGCGACCCGCCCACCGCTTCGCCGCGTTCGTAGTATCGGATTACGGTGGAACGACTCTCGTCGCCGCGCGCTTTTACTCACGCAGATTGGCCGATCTTTTTTATTTAATATTTCGTTAATTATTGCGACAATCCCAAAGCAATACCGGTCATTTCTTGTTAATTCGAGCCAATCTACTTATTTATTTCATTAAGGTCGAAAATCGACGGACACCCTGTATAGTCGTGTTTAAACAAAATTATACATTCCGGTGTTTTATGAAACATATACTTATAACGCCGCCAATTTGCGTCCGATTAACTTGAAACTTTCAGAAAATATTTTCAATATGATATACTCCAAGGAAAACATAAAAAACATAAAAAACATAAAAAAAGTAAAAACACTAAAAACATAAAAATTGGTTTGAATTGATTGAACTGAAAATTGATCTGAAGTGTCCGATGCTTCATACGAGCTTTGGATTAACAAAATTTGTTTGGTATCTATTTCTTACTAAGGTTTCGAATTTTTCTAAGATTTATCTAGTTTTTGTTGATTAGATTTGTTAGTTTAGGTTGATAAAATAACACGATTTCTGCTTTTTCTTCTTTTGTTTTTTCCTCTTTTTTTCATCTATGTAATAATTATAAACAAATTGTAAGGTATCGCATCTCCTTCTCGAGGTGTTTATGAGAAAAATAAGATGGATTACTCAGAGAGAGCCAAACAACGTCGAATTCAATCTTGATGTGATTCTTGGCACGATAAATGTGCTTTTATTGAAACGAAGATTAAAATCTTCATTATTTCGATTAAAATTCTTTAATATCAGAAAATGATTAAAGACTTATCTTACAGCGTGATTGTTCGGCTCTTTTATTGGAAATTAAAATTTAATGCAAAATTATACATTAGCATTAACTACTTTTACAATAGCATTCCTAGCTTTTTTCTTTTTAAGAAATAAATAAGGAATGAAATAATAAACGTAAAAGGAATCTTCTAAAATTTAATAATCCTTTTAAAATAATTTTAACCGAGCATCATATGCTGCAAGACATCTCACTACAGTTTTTACAAATTATATTTATTAATGTTTATTTGATTTATTTATCAATTATAATCACGTCTAATTAAATTTATTAATATTTATTTGTACTTTATTAATGTTTATTTGTCTCAAATATTTTATAATTATTTATTATTGTTATATAATTTTAAATTTATTAAATATTGATATTTTATATTTAATGCAAAACATATTATTTAGAAAATAAATGCCATATATACATTTTGTCGCTCATTTATTTCAATTTTAGATCAATCTTATCTTTTTTAGCCGATATTTATGTATTTATGTATTTATATATTTATATATTTATATATTTATATATTTATATATTTATATATTTATATATTTATATATTTATAGTATATATTTACATATGTGCAGTAGTTATATCTTAAGTTACACTTATGTAGAGATATCTAGAAATATTTAATTTTCTACGCAGTATACATAATATATGTAGATAGGATACGCACAGAAAATAATGGAGACCGGGGAAAAATAACAAAAGTAATATTTCCTTGTATTATAGATCACTAATTAATTATTGTTAAAAATATAAAAAAAATATTATATGTTAAAAAACTCCATTTATTGCTCTATTATTATACCTATGTTTCAATCTCAAATGATAGATATTTAAAGAGCTATTATAGCATTTCGCAAGTACGTTGATTGTTATCTTTATCTTGGGGGCCTGAGACAAAAATAACATAGTCTGGGAATAAAAATAATAGTTCTTATTTTAGGGAAAATAAAACAAATATGACACTTTTTTCAATTTAAGGAAACTTTTATTATAATCTTTTATTAAGCAAGCTTTATTAAGCAACTTTTATTATAAATTTGTGTGTGTATTATATTATATTAAAATGAAAAATAAAATAAATATTTATTTTTTATTATTTTATCATTTTTGAAAAACTTAAAAGAAGTAATCTTAGTTAAACAAAATTATTATAAATAATATCATAAAATAATTATACTTAATATCACACCAGTTTTGCACTTTTTTAAATCTAAATAATAGTTTAATTCTAAATAAAAATGTAAAAATTGTATGATAACTACTTATACAAAAGAGATTGGTATCTATTCCGAATCACAATTATAGCATACGTAATAAGAATCGCCTTTAGTACAGTTATTATGGGACCAGCCCCTTATACTTTAAGCATTGAAACGTGTTACTTTTGTTCACAGAATGTCGTGTTACTTTCGTCCTCAAACACATTTTTTAGAATAAAAGCATTATAACCTTAATATGATGCAAGATTTAGCTAAATCAACTATAAAAACTTATGAATACATTTTAGAAGAATACACCGGCAAATAATTACGTCAATATATATACTTTAATTAAACATAGATGCAAAAAAACTAAAATAAGAAATATTTAGGTGAATAATGCACACTAATTTCATTCCAGTATGTGCAACCGGCTATCGTTTTACAACAATTTGTTGAAAAGGAAAAAAATCGGGGCGTACGTGTTTGGCTGTATAGCACAAATTATTCAACATATTATGTTGAATAATTTGCAGTTTATTACGAGGCTTGTTATTTTCATAACGTTGTTATTTTTGTCCCCGGTCTCCCCTACTCACAACAGCGATTTTTAATTTCGATTCGATGATTTAGGTCTCGTCATATGCAATGTGTTACATAATTCTATAATTAAAGATAATTAAAAATTGACAAATAACACCCAATAAGGCGCGGAATCTAATATAGTATTATTTAAAATATTAAAATATTTGTGATTTCCGCGCAATAATTCTATCCATTTTTATTTTTACTTAAAATTTATAACATATAGATTTATGATTATTAGTATACTGTAGTATGAAGATTAGAATTATTCGGGAAAATGTGCTCGCCAGATTACTGCATTGTTGTATCTGTGCATCGATTATAAAATGGTTTACATAATCTTATATGTTATTTAATAACTTTATAATGCATAATATCATACATATTTATAAAACGTTGTCGATTTGATGATCTTTCAAAATGATAGACCGTACTTGTGTGTGAATATATATTTATACATTATTAACTTTATTAAACAGTTATTGGAGATAAAACAATAAATGTAGTTCATTTTTACAACTGCATATTTTTGTAATCATCAATATAATTTGAATATATAGTAAGTCATTAAATAAAATATAATAAGTCATTAAATAAAAAGATATAATATATGTATATATTTATCACGAATAATGTAAAAAATTCATACATGATAATTGTTATAAATTCAAAAATAATTATGTTATTGTATTTATATATTTACAACTAATTATAAAGAATATTATTCGCGTTTTCCCTTTCACTCATAAATTTTACAATCAATTTGTAATTATCGGTCATATATAATGTCGAAAATTAATTATATTCCCATGTTCAAAAAAGTATTGTTTATACATATACATATATATAATCGCAATCATTAAATTTTGCTTCGATTACTCCAGAACACAAGTTAGATATATCATTATATTATTTGATTTTGTACAATCATGAAAACGGATGTGATATTTTTTAATAATAATCAAAATTTTATGCGAGATAATTTTATGGAACAAAATTTCTTTAATTTTCATTGATACATGTAACATTAAGACTAAACATAAAAATAACAGAATTTAGAAATATTCCAGAAATATATTTTCCACATTAAAATTTATTGAATCGTTTAGACAATAAGATAAACATTAATTTAAATATACCGGCTAAATAGTATCGAGCGGATTCAATAAGGCATTCTCTATGTTCTTTCTTAATGTTATAATATTTTTCAGACAAAATTCGAAATTTGGTCTAGCATTCGCTGCACTCCAGCAACTTAGCATCAACTGATACAATGGTGATGGACAGTTAAGAGTCATTGGCAACCTGCCTCCAGCACGTACATAATTTATCACTTCTTCATTAGCCTTGGCTCTATAAGGTTGCTCACCCAACGATGTAATTTCCCACATTAATACCCCAAATGACCAAATATCACTTTGAGAAGTAAATTTTCTGATCATCAAAGATTCGGGTGCCATCCAGCGAATAGGAAACAAACCTTCTCCTTCCTAAAACGTAATTTTAAAAAATTAATGTTCTGATTATTCATTTTTAGAATACGTGCAATATGAATAATCTTAATTTATCTCTTGCTATATATAAATAAAAACTATTTATATTCTATATTACTTAAAGAAACAATGCACGATACTATTATGATAAAAAATGGAAAATATTACAAAAGAATTAATTTTTTAATAATTAATTTTTTTCATAAATGTATTCACCACGCGATAATAATCATCCTTGTAGATATCTTTAGCTAACCCAAAATCTCCAATTTTGATGATACGACTCTCGCGATTTATCGAAGATACTAAACAATTGTGACACGCTAGATCTCCATGTACGAAACACAACTCTTCCAAGTAGCAACAACCTCGCGCAACATCTTCGCACATGGCGAGCAAATCTTGCAAACGCAGAGCAAACGAATCTGACGATTGCAAATTTCGACATCCTCTCAAATATTTTAACAGATCAGTTTCCATCAATTCCAACACTATTAACGGAGAATCTCCATCTAAACAAACGCCCAACAATCTTAATATATGTTTGTGTTGAAAATGACTCATAAGCTCGGCTTCCTTCAACAATTTCTTTTTCTCATGAAAAGAAGCATCTTTTCGAAGCGTTTTTATTGCAATGGATATATCTGTGCCCGATTTTTCTAAGTCCTTCAACTTTCCTTGAAACACCTGCAAAATATTTCACACAAATTTACATTGCGTACTTCATTAGAAAATATAGTTCAATGTCAAGTAATATTATATTTTACTTTATATTAAATAATTCAATAAAAAATATATAATAAAGTGCATGCTTGTTGTCTTATGTAAATTTTATATTACTTATAATCTATTATAAAAATTCATGCAATTTATGTCTTTATTAGAAAATACATATCTGTTTTGTCGATCCAGAAATTAATTTGAAACATTGCTTAAAAAAAATTAATTTTTACCTTTCCGAATGTGCCACTACCAAGAAGTTTTGTAAATGTAATTTGATTTCGTGCAATTTTAGTTATCGCACATTCATCCAGAATGCTTAGCCAAGATTCTTCATGTAGAATCGCCAATTCTACATCGGTCATTGTTGAAGACAAAAATTGTTCATTATTACCTCTGCGTTGACAATACACTGTTATAAAATTTCGACTTAATTATGTAATAATATGTATTATAAAATTTACTGCTTTTTAGCAAATTTATTCGTTTAGTTTTATATAAGTAAATTATTATTTTCAGTAAATCTCAAAATATTATATCAGATATATATGTATAATCTACAATGAAAGTCGATTTCTACATCAAATATACTTACAACGATAAACGCAAATTATAGCAACTATAACGATAAAACTTAACAAACTCAATAATAAGTAATATTTTATCGCTATTATTCCAGGAGTGCTCGGAATTTCTATATTAAACAAAAATATAATATAATTTAATATCTTATATAATATAATTTAATATCTATAATATTTAATATCTTCGTGTGTGTATATTTTTACAAATTTATTTTTACTTATAATTTTATTACAAAATTCAATTTTTTTTTAATTTTAGGCATATACATATCTAAAAAAATTAGCACATAATATTAATTCTATGCAGCACAGAATATTACAACTATTTTGCAACAATGTTGCAATATTACAAATTACAACATTACGGAAACATTGTAGAAATATAAATTAATAAAGTGTGAATTAGATATTAACAATATGATATTTATATTTTGAAAACATTTTAGAACTATAACACTATTTAATTTATCTATAAAAATAATGTAATAATATGTTTTTTTATATCTGTATATATGCGATGAAATTTACTTTTTTGCAGTAGTCAAATGAATTATGAATTGACACAAATAATATCGATCGAGTAAATATAATTCCAACCTAAAGATAAGCCTTGCTATTATTTTATTAAAATATAGATAACATTTTATATCAATGTCACAATATATTTTATGATATATTTTCACTTCATGCACGAATACGATATAAATCTTCAAAGATAATATATCTTTTTATTATATTAAGAATATATATTATTATATCTATCATTATATTTTTCTATGCATTTTTATGTACATTTCACATGTAAATATATGTAATTAAAACAGATGTTTTAAATTTTTAAATAAAAATATAATTAGTAATGTATAATTAATTCTATAACTAATATATAAATGTGTATAAAATTATAAAAGTATAAAACATTTAAAATAGAAAAAAGTGATTCGTAAGTAAGAGTTTAAAGCAATTTGGAAAAAATATAACATTTTATGTTATATGATGTTATGTTTAAATATAGTATTGCAATATATTATCTCAGATATAGCATACTAGTATTTATATCAAGCTTTTTAATTTAATTAAATGTTTCCAAGATATTCATCCATCAAAAACAAAACCATTTAATAACATACATAATGTTATTAAATGGTTGCAATAATGTTATTAAATGGTTGCAACAACGTTGCATCCTTTCCAATATATTACAATGTAATATTGCTACATTATTTCATTGCAAAAGGCGGACACTTTAACTTTATCACAATCTTGTAACAATAACTCAGCAGATTTTCGCAATCGATTTGCAATATTGGAATGTTTCATTGAAATTATTCTTCAATATATCCGTAACCTTAATGTGCTATATGAGTATCTTCGTTTGCTTACCAAGTGTTGAAAAAATAAATCTTTCATCAGCCGGCCATATAAAATTTTCCTCATATTCAAGATATCTGAATATCAAGCGAAACTTGTATAAAGTTCCCGATTGTAAATTTTCGACATGGTACATTACTTCATTGTTATAATTTACTTTAACATAATTCATTTTTTGCCACTTTTCTGCTGTAATATCTTTGTACTCTAGTGTAAAAAGGGTCAGATTAATGTTTGAGATCCATGAAATGTTCATGCTATTTATGTTGACCCCGCTCAAAGTAATATTGTTTGGTTCTAAGTATATGTGAACAATCTTGCTTAAACTCTCGTTGTACAAATCGCTGAAATTAGTTGGATACACACGCACGTATATCAAGTAATTTTGTGGTAGCGACAAGATAATCTTTGTGAAAAATCTACCGTCTGCCATACGTTTCGGCACATTGATCAATTGTTTGCTCTTTTGTTGCGTGCCGTTCACTAATGTAACTGACTTCCAATGCACTTCGTAGGTCACGCTTATGCAGTTCAATTTCTTGGGTGGCATCCAATGAACAACTGCTATAGTAGGCGTCAAAGCTAGAACACTTATGTTTTCTGGTGCATTAAGCTTGCCCGAATTAGTTTTTACTGATATCACATTCGAATCGAATGGATTTATTGATAATTGATCAAAGTAAAAATTGCTTAAAGTAAACTTCAACCTGTACTCTGCAAATGGTGTTAAGTTCTGAATCTCGTAATATCGCTCGCACGTCACATATCGCAGCACATTGAATTTCTCAGACTTGTTGAGGTTGTGGTCTAAACAGCTTACAGAGATAGTATATATAGTAGTTGGTAAATTATATTTTTTGCATCCACTCTTTACTACCGGCTCCGGAAAATTTACGATGATGCTGTGTGCCGTTGCATTCACATTCTCAAAATTGTAAACTTTTTCGTAAGGTGTCAGACATCTCATTGGAGGATATGGTTGTACAGATTTATCAAAAGCGTAAATTTTAGGAAACCAATCATATGAGCTTATTATTGTCTTTTCAACATATTCGGCTGCATTTACGCTCTTAAGACTTGCATATTTCTTTTTCAAAACGTACATAAATGGAAGCATATCGTCATTATCCGTATTAAATATTATTTTGTCAAAATGTAGTGGTAAAATGTAGATGTTTGTTTTGTCAATCGTCATAGATTGGAATAAGATGTTATCACTTACGTTTTCCTTGTGTAAAATTGTATTGCACATAGAAACGTTAATGTCTGTCACAAATATATAATACTTATTTAACCAGTAAATTAACGGCTCTTCATTATTTATGTTATCAATTATCATATCATTAAAAAAATTATCATTAAAATGATCATGAAATTTTGAAGGGCAAAGAGATGCATTTGTCCAAACAATTTGTTCGATTTTTCCATCGAGATGAGTTTTCGTTATTTTTAAATCATGTACTCCCCTCGTCCAAATTTGTGATATATAATAGAAAATTCTAAAAATATATAATTATTTTACTCATTATAAAACACTATTCTAACAAAAACAGAAACTTGTATGTAGTAAAAATTCGAAATACTTATAATTATATAATAATTTATTATAATTTTATAATAAGTTGTTATTATAAGAGTTATTATAAGAATTTTGAGTTAATCTTATAATCTCATAAATATAAAATAACTATATTTTTTACTTATAATCTTAATTATAAAATCACGTAAAATTATAGAAAAATACATTACAAATTTGCATAAATCTTTAATAGAAAATTATTTTTTCAGATAAACGGTAATAAACGTACCCCATAGACGGTGATACATTTAAATATTCGATACGAATTTTTGTTTTGAGAATCTCATCAAATTTAATTATGCCATTTTCCCACATTGTTAAGTCAAACTTTACAATATAAAAGTAGATAAAATCTTTATAGGTAAAATATAGATTTCTTGCTACCCAGTCAATGCAGAGATTACGTAGAGTACCATGAAAGCTAGCTATTTTTGTGATATTATTTTCATTAATTTTCAATGTCATTAGGTCTTTTTCGTCACACCAATAAATTCTATGTTCTTGTATCAAATAAACGACATTGTTGACATTTACTGAAAAAGATCTGAAAAAAGGAGCCAACTATAATTCCATAGTAAAAAATTATACTTGAGGTTTCTAATTTTACAGTTATTACTATAATTATTACTACTATAATGTTGATAATAATAAACTTGTGCATAATAATAATAATTTAACTTTATAAGTAAAAATAATTTATGATAATTAGAACTATTTTTTATCAGTATACATACCCTGGCTTTACGAAATTAGTAATGTTTCCACGTTCATAATCCACGTCCAATATTTCCATACGTCCATCCGTTACAAGTAATATTATAGGTATTGGATTTTCATGTGTAGTCGACACATTGATTAAATCCGTGTAAGGACCAGCAACAATTTTAGTATGCGCACGTACTCGAAAATAATATGTCGTGTTAGATGTTAGGTTGTGCACCGTGTGCTCCAATTTTGTAGTTGTGATATTTTTATCGTCGCAGGTTTCTTTAAAATCCTCGAAGAAAGAACACTGCACTTGGTACCCTTGTATTATTTCATCAGTAAAGTTAGGTTGGTTCCATCTGTAAAAAAATAACATTTCAGTCTTTTTATATTTAGTAAAATTATAACAGATTTAACGTTTTTATGTGTATATATCGTTGAATTTAAGAAAAAGAGACAAAAAGGAAAGATATAAACTGAATGAGAATTTAGATTCATTACCTCAATGTCACAAAAATGTCGTTTACTTTTTCTGTGAATTGACTGTCGAATTGTACAAATGCTCTAAGAGATGTTGGCTTGTTCAAACCGCTTTCTGGAGATTTTAAGATCGTATATATTAACATAATTATATATAAAATTTAGTAAATTATCTCAGTATATCAGACAGAACAATTTAATGTGAAAATAGAGGAAAGAGAAAATATAAATGTACTCGACAGAATATGAAAATTAGCACAGTATTGAGCTTTAAAAAAATAATATAATAATTTTTTGCGTCATTTAAGATTTAGAAAAGTTATTGTTAATAGATGATAAAAATGAATAAATAACTTTTAATAAGATGCCAAGTATTTTTCGATAAATTACTGTAGCTTAAGAAATCAAAAGAATAATATTTGCGACTGATTCAAAACAAAGTAGCAAATTAATAAAATTGACTTTACCTTAAATCATGACAATTTTTATGTACAATGTTATGTTTATATTATGCTTTTCTATTTCTTTTTTGGATGGAATAGAATTTATATTCTTCTCTCTACTAAACGATATTTTTAAATTTGATTTCCACTTTCTCTTGAATTTAAATTATATTTACGCTTTTTCGCCAGAGATTTTGTTATTAATGTTTTATGCATTTTTCTGCAACTTACCGATAGATTCTGGGATGGTAGAAATATTTGCAAGTGTAACTTCATCGACTTCTCGCTCATTTCTTGCAGTACTATCAGAATGACTCTGGTCAGATTTAAAATTTAGCATATAATGATCACTTTTCTCGGATATTGAAATATCCTTCATAAAATATAGCATACGAAAAAAATTAGATGAATATCGTTGAAGCGATTGTTTCCGATGCTTTTAATGTTAAATTATATAAATTATAAAATTAAACAAAAAATTGCCATTCGTTTTTTGTTTGCTTAATAATACCGGTTTAATATATACCATTCCTAAATGAAATAAATTGAATGTGATGTAGTTTCATTCATATCGTAAAATCTATTTTTTATTTTTTTTTTCAGGCATCTTGTATATCAAACATAACTCATGTCAAAAATAAAATTAATTAATAGGTTAATGAGAGTTAATAAAGATTCGTAACAGCTTTTAGCAAGCGAAAGTGTTGCTGTTTGCAATTATTTAAACAATTTTGTTTAACAATTTGATTCTTTCTCACGATAGATTAGTTAACTCTTCTCAATTTTACCGTAACTCAAATTTCAAAAGTTTGCCGATATTACTAAAGTTTTATTAATGTTTGTACTTCAAGAATAAGAAGGTTAAAAATATTGTTTCTTTATAGTTATTAAGTATTAGACTTAGAAATTATATAAATTCTTTATTTTTAACCTTGTCAAGTATTTTCTCTATTATCATTATATTTTTAACACAAATAAATCCTGGTAATGATAGAATAAAACGATAGTAGATAAACCGATAATGCCTCTATAATAATATGTGGACATAATTGTATATAAATGGATATATACACAATGAAAGTTAATATAAATTCTAGTGATTGTTATTGAATATATTGTCGATCGAAATATTAGCGTTAATAGATACAACTTGAATAATGTTTGATGAATAATTTTTTTATTAGACAGATTTTCTATCTCGATATTTAGTAGTTCTGTGCCGTTATATAATTATTCTTAACGCAAAGAAATGATGCTATCTTTCTAAATTAATTTTATAAAATAAAATTTACATTAGTAAAGCTTATTATATTGTATATCAATAAATATTATTATATATATCTAGGAAAATAAAGAAATTTTAAAAATTAAAGAAAAATAACATAAAAATCTGTTAAAGTGCTATCGTATGTATATAATAATGTAAATAGTACAGAATATAATAACAGATAATAGACAGAAAACTTCATTAATTTTAAAAATTGTTATTTTTATTCTGTTACATTATATATTTTTAATAACATATATACTTACTTTATGAACACAATTAACCCGTTTGTAATTATTTTCTCTTATTAATTTATCAATTCTTTGTATTGCACTATCAATATAACCTTCGCGATGTCAAATGACAAATAACACTCAAATGACATGAAACATGCAACACTATAAAACCAATCAGAGCGACGGAAAAGAGGCAACAATATATTTCGAGATTTTCGAGATAAACCGATACATTCGAGAATCGATTTAACATGCCTTCTTTAGAATAAGATTCATTTTTAGTTAAACTACTAACTGCAATAACATTCAATTGTTTTAATCAAGCGAAAAATATCTCTTACCTGCGTGAAATTTAAATCCGGACACATGGAAGCACTTTCTTCCTGGAGGATGTTTGAAGTGGTAAAATCCTTCGGTGTGATAGTTGCCTTTGTCAATACTGAACCTTTCAATAAAACACAGAAAATTGTTCCAAACATGATTTGCATTTTTCGTAAACGTTTCGATTACGTTTGCACTCAATCAATTTCCGTTGAATCCTGAATTAGTCCTCTTTTTCTCACTTTATTAATTCTGATGTGTTAATCGAATTGATATTAATTCATATATATACATATATTTTCAATAAATTCCTTAAAACTCAGTTTGAATCAAACAATAAGTAACGCGATAGTGCGCTTCGGCTAGCAGTCGTAATAGTAACTGACTTAGAATGATGTGGTTAGCAATCACAATAGTAACTGATTTAGAATGATTAATCTCATCACGTGGTGCCACGACGTTTTATTAGCTACTTCCGTTATAATTTATTTTTCTTCACGGAGATACTTGCGTTATTTTAAAAAGAATTAAAATCTTTAAAAATTGTTTGACAAAAAAGTTATATATAAAACAAAAATAGTTCTATGTATAAATAAAAATAATTATATGTATATATAATTGTTTAATAAATTTTATTATAAACATTTTAATTATTAATTTATTTCTAAGTATCTTCCCTTTGGCATAAGAAGCACTTTTGATATAAAGAGATATTCTGAATATAAGAAAAATAATAATGGATTTAAAAAAACAATGATTTATACGTTTTCTATATATTCACATAATGCAGTTTGAATCAAACGATACGTAACGCCGTACCGTTTTTGAATTAGTACAAATAAGTAAAAATTCACAGTAGCATATACATAACTAAAATAAATAATATAATTAATTGTACGAGCCATTATTACCATTATTTGCATTGAATAATCTTATAATATAATATAAATATATTATACATATATATATAACTTATATGATATAACTTTAGTTAATATTAACTTAATATAATATACTTAATATATATAATATAATATAATAAAAAAATTTATAATATTAATTACTTTATTATTTTAATTCTACTATTGTAATTTTATATACGAAAGTGTTTATTATGCACCAGTGTGCATTACTGCATCCAATGAAGTTCCCCATTTCTCCCGATATAAATCAATTACTTTATTTCCAAAAAATGTGATAAACACGTTAATTACGTGAAATATAATTAACTCTATAATTGTTTCTATATTGGTAAAGAGACATTTTGCATAAGAATATTTTTAATAATATAAACATTAATATTAACGGTCTCTATTTAAATTCATGCATAATAATAGATGTATTTTCAAACATTTTACAAATTTATAAAAACTTTTTACCAACAAAGATATATATACGTGGACGAATTTTTTCGAAATGATAGACCGTACTTACTATATGAGAATATATATTTATACATTATTACCTTTATTAAACAATTATTGAACATAAAACAATAAATGTATTTCATTTTTACAACTGCGTACTTTTTTAATCATCAATATAATTTCAATATATTGTGAGTCATTAAATAAAAAGATATAATATATTTATATTCTTATCTCGAATAATGTAAAAAATTCATATATGATGACTGTTATAAATTCAAAAATACCTAAAAATAATCAAATCAGAATCAATTTAAAAATATCCTAGAAATATTTTTTCTGTATTAAGATTTATTGAGTTGTTGTGATATTTTTTAATAATAATCAAAATTTTATGGAAGGTAAGATTACAAAATT